TGGTGACAAAGATTTAGTCTGAACAGTAATCTCTTGTCTGGTCGGACACCCACTTCCTCGGACACTCGCTCATTTAGACACATATGTGCTTGGACACCCGCGAGCTTGGACACCCATTCGTTCAGGCACTTACGAGATTAGACACTGATGCGAGAATTATACGCACACAAATTAAACCCTCTTTTTGTCAATTGTAGTAAAGAATGTAAGTAGGGATCGTTCTGGACCGGGGATTAGGAGGGATTGTTAATCACTTGGATTTGACTCAAAAACGTAAAAACACAAACTAAATTGATTTCTAATGACTAAGAGTAAACAAAATATGGGGGGATTGGTTTTGGACGAATTCAACAAAACAAACTTTTTGAATTAGAATAGATTGTAAAAAAAAACGAATTTGATGCAATTGAATGGGTGGGAAACTAGCTAAGGGGTTCATCTCCACACATGTTATACTTGCATACAAAATGATTTCTAATTGCTTTTCAATACACCATGAATTCTCAACACCCCGGGTTAATTAGGTCCGTTTAAATTAACCGTCAAGTTTTCCTTAAGTTAATGAATTGGATGATTGCATACGACAACCCAAAGCATTCCCCACAAGTTCCCTACATGAATTGCATAATAGAGATACAAGCAAGAATCATTAAGTTCTTTGAAAACCATAAATGTTGACGAAGCACTTGTTACTATGATTGCATGAAACTTATGCCAAGAATTTATTTAACGCGATTGTTTATAAGCAACCTCCACTACTTGTGAATATAAGTTCATAACTATTAGGTGAAACTCACTTATATTCTAGCGTCATATTCATGCATGAAAATTAAGCGTGCACTCTGAAAGAAAATTTGTGAAAAACATGTTCATTTAAGCAACATCAATAGCATGCAATTAACAATTAAAGGCGGAATCATGCTTGTATGCACTTAAAACAAAACATTTACCCATGAAATTCAAAGCCTAGTAGATAGGTGAACCAAGACTCAACTCAAAACAAAGTGAGTTGAGAAGTCAATACCTTTGTAGATTCCTCTTTGCATAAGCAAAGGCTAATCACCCAAAGAGAGGGCCTTCATTCCTTGCATCTTAGATCCATGGATTTGGATGGATGAAAAGGTTTCTCCAAGTTCCCAAAATTGAGAACCTCTAAGTCTCCACACCAAGGTATATTGTAGAAGAAATGAGTGACCTAGAGGAAGTAAGATTGCTAGCTATTCCCCTCTAGATTGGCCGAAATTTTAGAGAGAAAGGAGAGCTTGTGTTCTCATCCTTTCCCCCAAAAATAACCCTTAGTAAATTTTAGGCTATAAAGTCCTTTATATAGTCCCTTCAAATAAGTGACCTAATGGACCAAAAGCCCTATTCTTTTACACATGGCTAGCCTATAGGTTTATTGGGCTTTCAAGCCCTTTGTTTTATTCAAGTTCTCATACAACTTGAGTTAATGGGCTTGACATTCAAATCCCATTGGGCCTTGCGGCCCAAAACTAACCCGAGGTCTTTTAACGAACTTATTCGTTTGATTAATAATCATATTAATTAATCCTTGCCATAAATAATTAAACCATTTAATTATTCTTACTCATCTCCGTTGAATCTTCAATCTCTACCTTACACGGTGTACGATCCATGAGGTTCCTTTTAGCGAGGCAGTGGGCGATTCAAACTCTTTCAAATCAATTGTGAATTGAAACTTACTTTCAATTCTCCCGTTAGTGATAATACACTTTTAGGGCTTCCACAAACCATGAGTGACACCTAGCAGCATATCATGGTTACCCAAGCTAATCAGAAGAGGTGGAGAACCTATTCAGTTTAGGATTACAAATGCAATACGGTCTTTCTCTAATACAATACTCTTGACCACATTGTTTGGTTTGATAGTTTATTTATGTCTACTATCCAATGTGAATCTTGTACTTATATGATTACCTTGAATGTGATCTGGAACGCATTCCAACATCTCATTCATACTCTGGCCAGAGATTCTAAATCATATCATAGAGTATTCTCCCTCAAACAGTTTGAAGGTTAGAGATCCCTTGTTGCGCATTCACTTGCCTCCATGGCTAAGTGGCTTAACCCCAACGATGCCGTGGACACCCTGATAGAGTGACGTTGACATAATCAAAGATTAAGGACCTAACCACAAGACAACTGTGATGCCTCAGGTCAAAAGACTAATTTGCATTATCCCAACCATGAGTTCTCATATGACATGAATATGAGAACTCTTCGTTGATCGTGTTCAGTGAACTCATTCTCTATTGAGCACCTACGTACTTGTCTTGATGTCACACACACCAATGACTCGAGACTAGTCACTCTCCCTGAGAGAAGACATAGCACATACTGATCTTAACGGACTGTCAATGCCCAATTGACAATCCTATGATCAGGAACGTTTAGGATGTGTCAACGAAAGAATGGTCTCATGAATCTAACTTCTTTAGATCGCATTCTTCCAATCACATATTCCTTGGACTTATCGTTTAAGCATATAACATTTATATTAGACGGCTCAAACAATAATCTTTGCCCTTTAAACTACATTAGTTTGAAATGGTGTGGAATGGTGTGTGTTTGTGTTGTGAATGGAGGTGTGGAATTGAATGAATTGTGTGATGGGATTGCATGGTTTTATAGGGAGAGAATGGGTGAGAATGTGGCTGCAATGCATGTGAAAAACAGCTAGGAAAGTGGGTGGAAAGCTGGAATTACACAAGGGGAATGCATGTGGAAGTGTGGCTGCAAAGAGAAAGAGAAAAGCTGGAAATGCATGTGAAGATGCTGGAAATGGGAAGGAAGTGCACGGCTAAGGATTTTTGGTGGTGTAAATGCATGTGTTTGCATGTGAATTGAAGCTAGGGTGAATGATGATGAATGCATGTGAATTAAAGAATGAATGGTGGCTGCAATAATTAAATGGGATGGCTGGAATTAGGGGTGAAAAGCCACGACAATGGTTGTGTTTTGGGTGATGGGTGCATGTCTTGGCTGATTTATTGAAGGGAATGCATGTGAGTGACAACTAGGGTGAATGATGATGAATGCATGTGGATTAAAGAGGGAGAATGTGGTGCAATGATGAAGTGAAATGCTGAAAATCCAAGGGGAAGGCACGGCAAAGAAGGTTTCTTGATGCATGTGTGTGTGAATGGTGGTTTTGCATGGCTTTGATGGATTGTTTGATTGGGCTAGAGGTTTTGCATGGCTCAAAGGATTGTTTGATTGGGCTAGGCCCTTTGTTTTATGTCCAAAGTGCATACAAGGCCTTCAAATTCGTCCAACACTTTGGCTCCAAGCATAAGCTTTCCATTCTAAGCCCAATTTTGCTCCAAAATGCTCCGACATGCACCTTTTTGCCTCCTTAGCCATATTAACTTAGAAACACACGAAAATGGCATAAAGGACTAAAATAACTAAAGAAACACAACGTAAATGCACGAGAACAAGCCAATTAAGTCGCATAAATATGCTCCTATCAGACACCGTCAAACTTGGACACCCTTGAGCTCGAACCTTGACTCACGGACCCAACTTGTGGACCCAACTCAAAGACCCTACGTATGGCCCCGACTCAAAGACCTGACTTGTGGACCCGATCTGCGGATCCGACACATAGACCCAATATGCTAACCTGACAAGCAGACCTGAGTCATGTCAAGAGTTAACTCATAATGAGCTCACGCTGACATCGAGTGCATACTCGCAAAGAAGAACGTCATAAGCCGAGCCGCCTCGCAATGAGCATCGTCTCTAACCGAGCAACCGCCTCGCAACGTGTGCTACCTCTAGTTGAGTATTGCTTCACGTTAAGCATCGTCTTATGTCGAGTACTAGTTCTAGACGACATCTAGTCACTTCGGCCTGCACACGGATTGAATTTGAAGTCTCCAGCCAAAAGACTCTCTTGACTGAAGACCTAGGGGACTCCTGTTGTACCATATATTGGGCCTCAGTATTTGGGCTTCATTACTTAGCCCATGATTCATGTAAGAGGGGAGGAAACCATTATTCTATAAAATGGCTCCCTCGCACTCACTAGGGGGGAGATAGATAGCAAAGGGAAGCACAGAGGGCAGCACACAGAGAGCTTCCTTGCTTGTCCATTGTAATCCACACATTTACATAGTGAAACGGAATCGACACCAATGTGGACGTAGCCCAACTTGGGTGAACCACGATACATCTTGTGTTGTTTGCTTCCCTGTCTTTATCCATTTACTTACTTATCCACACTAATGACCAGAGCAATCTAGCGAAGGTCACAAACTTAACACTTTCTGTTGTACCAAAGTCCTCGCCGATTTTGTGCATCAACAACTTGCAACGCATCCCAATTCCTAGATTGTATGAACTCCAAGACTTATAGGATCTGATTGTGTCCATATCTGGATTAGATTGCTTGTCTTGCGGAACAAGCATAGTCATCCAGCGGAGCCGTCAGGACTCCATCTATTGCCTCCAAGTAGAGTGATGGTGGCACCGCTACTTTGTCTGATACAACTTTATCCAAAGCTGGTGAGTCCATGACCAGACTTATAAGGTAGTACTATTCGGATCAACCTTACTCTGGCGTGGAAAATCATGGTCCCATGCCCCTAACTATTCGTTTGAGAAACAACCTGTTCCCCTTGAGGATCGATTGTTATCGAAAGATTATGTATGTTGGAGTAAGTTGGAATACATACCCTTTGGTCTTCAAATTCTTGCAAATGTCATAATTTAGTGTTGAATTGGCCATTTACATGAGTCGAACCTAAAAATTATCATTTACAAATTAAGAGAAAAATCACTAGATTGTAGTAGCAAATAAATCGCTCTCATTGATTTTGCAACGAAATGCTAATCAAATGAGATGGGTCTGGCTCAATCTCATATAGGCCTTACTGGCCCATAAAGCCCATTTAAGGCCCAAATGTTTTTGGTCTACGAAGGGGAAATTAATCGATAAATTTTGCGACTTGGTTTGGGAGACGGGTTGGGGTTTTCGAAACGGGTCATCCAGCTCGGTAAATTGCATATGAATGCTTAAACCCCCAAGACCCAAACCCAAACCCTGCATCTTCTTCGGAGGCTAGTTTGTGCCTCTCTCAACTCTTGCAGTCTTTCTTCTCCTTTCAGCTTCAAAAGGTTAGAATCTGGGATTCATAAATTGGTTTGGATATTGGACTGAGGTTGTATGTACCATCAACCTTTAAATCCTTGTGGAATTAAATTGTATAAATATTTGGGTGTTTGATCAGACGTCACAATGGATAGAAAGGCTCGTGACAGTGACAATGAGTTCAAGGACGAAGGCGATTTCGACAACGATGAGCTGAGTGTTTTTTATTTGTAAATTCTGTTATTGGGTTTTGGTAATCATTCGGTTTTGTTTTGGTGATTTTGTTGTTATTTGATGATTTGTGATGTAGATGGAGCAGGAAGAGGATGACCTTGATGATGAGCAGGCGAGGAGGAAGAAGATGGAGGAGAAGTGGGGGAAGAGGAAAATGGTGATGGGCAAAATGATAATAAAGATGCCGAGATGGAAGAACTCGAGAAAAAATACATCAATCTTCGTCATCATAGAGCTAAATAATGTGAATATAAGAGATAACATGCATAGCAGTTGGAGGTTGGTGACGAAAATTGATATTAGGTTACAAAAGTCATTGAATAATATAATAGTCCGCCAGTGTAGCCATAGAAATTAAATACTAGTGCCATTTTCATCTTAGCTCGACGCTAAGTTTCAGTATCTATTTAATTTAGTTATTATGAAAGCACAAAGTGGAGTTATATATGCATGTGCAATTCTTCAGTTCGAGATAAAAGGAAGGAACATACATCTTACATGGATATAGGCTGACATGAAGTTAATTTTGTTCTTCGTTTATTCCCTCTTCCCATGCAGAGATATTTTAAAGAATCTAAAGCGTCATAAGGACGAAGATCTTAAAGGTCAAGCAGTAAAGAACCAAAAGGTGTGTGTTGTTCAAAATAATAGCTCTTGTAATATCCATGAAATAGATTACCACAGGTCGCTTTAGCTTCTCCCTTTTTTTGTAACTTTTTGACATGTTAAGATGTTATGTTCTTACCTGAGAGGTTGTCTGCAGGAGCCAGTTAGGTCTATATTTTGTGATTCACATGAAGGCGTCAATGCAGCATATTCTGATCTAGTCGACTCATCAAAGAGAACTTTGGATTCTTGAGCAGAACTACAAGAGGTATGACTGTCATAAAAATTTGTTGCCTACCTATTACTACTTGGTCTGTAGTTTAGCTTCATACCTCGCGGTAATATGAAAAGTACTTTATACATTATTGTGATTTGTTGATATTGCCATTTGTATATGCTAACATTTATTGCATCATGCTATATTTCTAGTTACAGGCTTTCGTTGGGAAAAACCCTTCTTCCATCTTTCAAGCAACAGATAGTATGTGCAAACTACATTTATCAAACTATTATATTTATTTTGTAATATAATTTGGCTCTCCGTTGTTGTGCATAATCTATCATTTTCAGCATGACAAGAATTGCCAATATGCGAAAGGTTTGCTATGCTTGGTGTATTACATTTTGTGTTTGAAGTTTTTAATATCCGTTTAAATTCTCGTAAAGTGCGTTTAGCTTGTAACTATACAATTAGCTAAGACAGAGTTTGATTTTATCAAATCAAACTTTAAGGAAATGCTTCAAGTTTCCTCTATTCATATGATTGTGAGGGTTCCTCAAATTTCAGAAGTTCCACTACAACAGTTACTATAATTAGTCAGATTATGATGGTACTATGCTATTATCAAGAGTGTACGAGTTTTAATCAAGAGGAATGGATTTAGCTCAGCCTTGCCCAAGCGTATCCCAAAACACAAAGCATAAAGCTTAAGCTTGGACCGACTGGTCTGCTGAATTGTAGTGAAGTTTGTGCAGGTTCCTGTGGGGGAGAACACTGCAAAGGGAAGGTACTGATTGCATATAATTGTGGTTTAACTGTAATTCTATACTAATATGAGGACCCATTTATAAATTCATTGGAATTAAATGTCCCATGGCATTTACAATTTTCTCATGTGCTATATTAACTCCCAAATGAGGTACAAATTCGTTGTTTGGGATGGATGTTGACGTTTGAGCAAATTTTGGGTTGTTTGTGGTGTTTGCTTCAATTTTCTTTTTGGATGGCCCCGATGTGACTTGATGAATTTGTTCCTTTTATTGCTCATGCAACCAGTGAGCGACGGCTGTGAGTGTTTCAGTACTCTTCATGCGCCATTAGCTTTAATCTATTGATGTCAATGACACTGCATTGTATCAGCAGCTTTTAGTGGGCTTTGAACCTCATCAATCCTGAACTTCTATTGCTTTTTTATTCTAGATTTGCACTATTTGATTAATCGCCTCAGAGACAGCCGTTCCTCCTAATGCTTCCTGACCCTAATTATTCGAGGTTGAAGAAGCGGAAACCAGCTCCGTTGTGTGGTAGCGATGCAAGGCTGAGCCAACTGTATAGTCCTTAGATCTCAAGCTAAGAAATTGTCTGCTATTTATTTATTTGATATATTATTCAATCTAATATCTGTTATACTTATTTACACAATTTTTCAATGGGAGTCGAGTCTTTAAGAAGCATGATTTTGTTGTAAATGACGATTAAGATCTGTATATTTGACATTTATAAGCAGATAGGATGTTTTTGCTTTCCACGGTGCCGAAATAGCATTGCTGATGCTGGATGTATTTCAGTATTTGATGATGTTGAACACATTTGTGCTATGCAATATTTGATGATTTGAACACATTTGAACTTCAATATCTAATTGCTAGGGGCTTTTATATCTCAAGCGGTTAAGAGCGCTTAGCTGTGAACCCGAAGTTTTGAAGGCATAAAATATCTTGAAGACAAAGAAGGAATGCAAAATATGTTTGTATCAAGTAAAATTGCAAACTCATGGAGGGCTTGTGGACTACTGTCGCTTCTTTTTCTGGGAGATGGAGGACCGAACTACTAGAACAAGCGTGAAAAAGAAGCCAGCAGCTGTGAGAAGCACCTTCCAACGTCCGAGGTTGCAGTTGTTACTGGCAGCCCTCATCCTTGCAATTGTGAAATCAGGTTCATCCTCTTGCCCTTCTTCTGTCTGAAAAACATACAAATAACATAAAAATTTTGTTTTTGAAATGAATACAGACGGATGTGGAAGTGTTTGGATGGACTATAATTCATTGCAATACAACAATACGACATACCTGTGTCTTCTTCATGAGAGTCCATCATGACGCAATTCAACCATCCCCGCTCATCGACAAGAAGGCCTTCAACGTATTTTTTCCCGAAACCAAGGAAGTATATTCCTGGTAGATGCTCCCACATGGACAAATCTCCCCCGATGACACATGGATAATGAGGATCTGATTTGGTGTTGTGTTGGGTACTTGTCATCATATTATTCTGGTGCTCTTGCACAAGCTCGACACCAAACTCCTTTATCCGAAACTGGTTAGGAAATCTGGCTATTACCAAAACCACCACTTCATCTCCACATTGCAATATTGTTTCAGTCTCCATCCTCCAATGGCTCAACCATTTCATATCTTCTCCGTCACCAGGAATTCCATAGATTTCTGGTTCATAGATCCACGTCAGACCCTTAATCTTGTTACTCACTTTAGTCATTATTGGGCAAGAAAAAGAAGGATTTTGATAATTATAATTCTCCTCCATTGCATAGGTAGCAAAGATGTTCAAGCCTCGAATTCTGTGACTGGCATGCAGTGAAGGGACAATAAAAGATATCGAGGACTTGGTACTTTTATAGCTGAACCGGCCCAGAACCTCATTCCCGGTAAAAAATGTGCTGAATATACCATATTGATAGAGTCCCTATGTATTTGCCACAGTCATCACAACATTACTCAGTCATTTCTTTCCCATTTTATATATTTAAGACTTATGAGAGAGAGAAAGAGAGGCGCACCTGGACTGGGACCTCTTCTGGATGATCCCTGGTTGCGTCTGGATGATGCATTCGAACAGCTGGCATGGATTCCAAGTTGGACAAACCCAAAAGTTTGATCATTTCCGCATCAGCTCTATTAATAGGATCTAACTTGTATTCGTACTCCCACTCAACTAGATTCCAATTGTCACCCACCCTGTACGGACACCGTCTCTCAGGGGAAAGATATGTAATTTTTTTTAATGATATGCAAGTCAATATATCAACCAGTTCGTGTACTTTTGGCAACCCCACAAGCGATTCGAGCTTCTCACAACTTCCGAAAGAGAGTTTATCGAGCCTTCTCAAACCTTTGATGAAACCTGGCAGACTACAAATTGGATTCTTATTTAGATATAGTCTTTGTATTGAGGATAAAGTACTTAAATCCGTAGGAAAGGCATCATCAGAAAGATTGCACCCCATGAGACTTAACTCTACTAAAGAGCATGGAAAAGAACTCAAGATAGTTGAACTTCTTTCTGGCCACAATTCACTTATTGGAATTCCATCCATGTCAAGAACTTTCAGACACTCCATCTTCTTCATCATCTCCACTGGAAACTCTTCAAGATTTGAGCAGCCAAATAAAATGAGTTTTTCAAGTGATTTAAGCATGCACATGTTCTTCGGAAGCATCATAAGATTCTTGCAATCCTTCAAGTTTAAGTACACAAGTCTCTCCAGGTTTCCAATGGATTCATGAACATCAATCAGGCTTGTGCAATCTACAAGAATCAATTCTTCTAGACTAGGGCAAAGTGAGAAGTCCACGATTTCAGTGAGGGAATGGGAATGGCTGACGTCAAGGAACTTCAACGATGGAAGAAACTGTGGAAACAAAGAAAAAAAGAAATAGAAAAAAAACAATGAAATAAGTATCTAACATAAGAAATTAGTCATCGGATTAAAGAAAACATAGGAGTTCATTTTAACACATGGAGTTAGTCAACAAATTAAAAACTAACAAAATAAGGAAAATGAATTGAAATGCCTAGAGTAACATACTTTTGTTCCTTTCCAGACTTGTCTTAAGCTACTATGTTGCATTTCAAGAACAATTAGACAATCCAAAGGAAGATCAACAGGTATAGAATCCAATGGAAATTGAAGCCAACACAAGCATCTTAATCTTGTAGGGAAATTTGCATAACATCCATCCAGTCGTACATGACTAAGATGGAGTAGTTGTAAATTACGCATCCTTTCAAATGCATTGGTTTCCAAGACGGTCTCATTTGTGTTTATTGGTCTGTTTGCAAGATGCATACGCATATCCAGGGCAAGACCTTGAATTGTTTGTGTACCCTAACAGAAAAAAAAAAGTTAAAACATTTATATGGATAATTTTCACAAGGAGAAATACATACAGACATAAAAGGCATGTTTCTTACATTCTTTTCCCTCAGTACTTCGAAAGAATCCTTATGGCGCCATAATCTACTACGTTTTCCAGGCTCTTTTGATTCGTGGCAAACAATTTCTCTTCCCATGTCACGGATCATGTCATGCATTTTCACATTGTTGCATCCATCAACTGTCACCAAGCATGTATCGATGAGATTTTGAATGCCAACAATTGTATAGAAATCACATCCATCGAGTATTCTAACAATGTGGCTTTTGTTCCTTCCTATTAGGAAACAAGCAATGTGGAGGAATAATTCCCGGTCATGGTCATCTTGTAAATTGTCATAGCTTATTCTTAGTTTATTCATGATTTCACCATTAGGGATAACTTTTAGCTTCTCCAATGCACTTTCCCATACATCTATACTTTACCTGATAAAGAAGACCCCAAAACTTTTAGAGCTAGTGGAAGTCCGTTGCAGTAGTGTACAACCTTTTTTGAATATTCCATGTAACCTCTAAGGGGATGATCCTGGCGAAAAGCATGCCAACTGAAAAGCTCTAAAGACTCATTGTAATACAAAGTTCCAACTTTGTGCACCTTTGTAACTTGATGTGCCTTTAGCAACCTTTCACGCCTAGTTGTTATAAGTATCTTACTTCCCGGATAAAACCGATCTTTCATCTCTAGTACTGCATCTAATTGGTCCATATGGTCCACATCATCAAGAACAAGAAGCACTCTTCTAGAGCTTATGGCTCTTTCAATCTTTCTTAGTCCCTCACTAACACCATGTATTTTCACTTCTCTGTCGTTCAAAATATCATAAAGAAGTTGCTTTTGTATTTGAACTAAGCCATTTGGTCGATTTGCCGTTTCTCTGATATTTTCAATGAAACTACTTCCTTCAAAGCTTCTAAAGTTTGAATTGTAAACATGTTTTGCAATGGTTGTCTTCCCTATTCCAGACATGCCATACACAACTAGTATACCGACATCGGTTGATCCATCTTGTAACCACAAATTGATGTCTTTGACTTGAGATTCGACTCCAATCAATTTTGGTACAACGCTCAATGGTGTGCGACTTAACTTGCCTCCAATCACTTTAACAATTTTTTCAATAAACTTTGACTCATACCTAAGAATTTACAAACAAAATGAAAAATAAATCAAACATGTTATGTCTCGCAGATGTATATGAATGAATAATGAATTGGGGAATTTAGATAATTAATAAATCAAACAAATGTTGATGGCCTTTACTTAAAAAAGAATTAAAAGGAATACAGCACAGAAAGTACATACCAACTTTTTTCCACACCTGCTTTTGAAACATTTTAAGCAACAGGAAACCAGTAGACTAACATGGAAAATGACTAATCCTTAAGTTTATCCAAGTGTGATTTCTTTAAGTTGACCTAAATTGGGATAATTATTCACTACTGAGGTTGAATAAAAACTTATAAAAATCAAGGTCCCTACGGATCATAGTATCAAATTAACTGAAGAAAGAGAAGAGAAATGGAG